CAAAATCATATTGGCCATCAATAAAATATATATTTTACTACCAGTAGAAAGTAGTTTTGATTTTTAACTTCGGTGAAAACAAACCTAAATACCATTTATCCTCAGACTGGCGGATGTTCCCGACAGGGCCCATTTTTAAAAATAAAAAAATCTGTTAGAATTAATGAGATTATAGTTTGTTTTCATCAAGTTAGAAAATCAAGACTACTTTCTACTACCGTAGTTAAATATGTATTGGAATCATAACCAAACGGATTTTGCATGACACAACTTATAACATAACGATTTCTTCCACCGAAGCGAGGTGGGGTCGAAGTCACAATACCGCGCCGATAACTTTCTTGCTACATTCCCATGGTTAATGTCCACTCACCAGTATGTAGATACTAGTCAATGTGCGTCTTTATATTTGGTCTTATAATCCTAATTAAATACTTGTATGCATTTTGAAACTAAATAAAAAGCAGACGATCTGCTGAATACTTATAGTGAATTTATAACAGAACTGTAATATCTAGACATTATATAGTTTGCCAATGTGAATCATAATTCGCACACACACCCTAGTGCATGTTGTCTGTCTCATTACACTTCACTAAACGAAAACAATGATTCTGTTGATATGCTACGACAAATGAATAAAACAAAATGCAAATATTAAAATTAAAACAGATTAAAGTTATAGGAACAATATCAGGCCATTACCTTGTTCGAGGAATGTATCCATCAATATCCACAAAACTGTTCCAAATGATGTGTCTTTTAACAGTTTAATATACCTAAAAAGTGATAAATCTTTTCAGGTACTGGTGTATAGTCTCATTGGTCACCCAAGATAGCACACCTGGCAACTAATTGCATAATGTCCGCCTTTCTTTAAAAAAACAGTAATTTAGTTAGCCAATAATGGGCAATCAATCAATCTATTGCCGGTTAATCCTTTGAAAGAAGGACGTTGTTTTTACTTGAGACACCGACGACCACGACAGAGTGTATTCAGTATAGATTAGTAAATCTACATACATAAACACTACCTTTTGACAATTCCGCTGTGTAAGATAAAAGTAATTAATCAATCAGCGTGTTATCGGTTAATCCTTTGATCGATGTTTATAATGTTGAATATTTACTCCTGACACAAGAAATGCCAAATGGGAACCTTTGTCGGGTAATCTAAGTGTGTTACCACTAATTATACCTGTTGTAAATTCATTAACTGACCATCAAGTGAATGATGACAAATAACATATGTAGGTATATACCACCTAACACGGGTTACAACAAGGGAGTATTAATTGCTGTATTGCATGTGAAAACTTATGGGCCGACACTGTTTTGAGAATACAAACAGATTTTTACATGACATGATTAAATATCGAGGTAAAAAAACACAGAAATGGGATCAATTTGAATCAGTCATTATACAAATAGGGCCTAACGACACCAATCGATTTTGACAGAATCGTCTATGAAAACAAGTTGTAACTCGAAACTAGGCAAAGCAGGAGACAAAACTAAATGACAGTAGATTGTGAGAACATATAGCTTTCATTTTCCACAACAATTGTCACGATTTCAGGTTTATACAAGCCTGTAAACAAGATAATTTACCCCCTAAAATGTAGATGAATTCTGCATCGGCCCTCAAAGCTATTCCTCATATGACGTCACAGAGTCGCGTCGCTCTGATTGGTTGAAATTTCGTTCGCGGGTGAGAATTGTGCACTGTTGTCAAAAAGGTCGATTTAAGTCAATTAAAGGTCGAAATGAGTAGTTTTAATGACGGGGTTTCATTTATAACGATGCCAGTTAGTGATTTATGTATTTTTAACCCCTAGGGTTTATGTGACCTTTAAAGACTCCAGAGGAAATTCATGTTTCTTTAAAGATGTGAAATTTGTAAATGTATTTTGTGCTATTTGCAGAAAGACTGAAAGAACTACATGGTTTTATTGTGCATTAACAAACATAAACAGGAGAATTTAATAAATGACACTAATCAATTATTTTAGATGATTGATCGGTTGTAATGAACCAATCATCAATTCTGAGATTTTAAACAATTCCCAACACGTATGGATGGATGGATGGATGTATGTATAGTACAGACTCATGACATATTTCAGTGTTTGATTAAGTGTGTGAAGTGGACAGGCTTCTGAAGTACTGTGTTCAGTGAGAGTAGTAAAGGATAATTCCTTTATTGGCTGTGTATACTGTGTTCAGTGAGAGTAGTAAAGGATAATTCCTTTTTGGGCTGTGTTCAGTGAAAGTTGTAAAGGATAATTCCTTTATTGGCTGTGTATACTGTGTTCAGTGAGAGTAGTAAAGGATAATCCTTTATTGGCTGTGTATACTGTGTTCAGTGAGAGTAGTAAAGGATAAGTCCTTTATTGGCTGTGTATACTGTGTTCAGTGAGAGAAGTAAAGGATAATTCCTTTTTGGGCTGTGTTCAGTGAAAGTTGTAAAGGATCATTCCTTTATTGGCTGTGTATACTGTGTGTCTGTTCATCTCATGTGGCTTTCACCAAAACACCTGTAATACTGTTGTACTGAAGCAGTATTCCGAGCTGACACAACTCACTCCACCAGGACATGGAACCAAGACCAAAGGGGTTACAGACTAAGGTTTAGTCTCTGAATATATATAATATTGATAGTAACAAATAAACCCCTTTAAATTGAAAAGGAGTCCCATTGAGTTGGGGGAAATCTAGACTTGCTTCATTAAGGTCTTTAGCATTGCAGGGTCCCTGAATATATATAATATTGATAATAACAAATAAACCCATATAAATTGAAAAGGAGCCCCAGTGAGTTGGGGAACCTGGGGAAATCTAGACTTGCTTCATTTAGGGCTTTAGCATTACAGGGAGGGCTAGGCAGTAGGGAAAATAATGTGGTTCAGGGACTGTGAGACAAACTTGGTTTACATGTACTATAATACCACTAGATGGTCAAGTGTATGTGAGTTCATATTTCACAGCTGTAAAACCTGTTGTATTGTAGGGGTTCTGTGTTAATATGACACACATATGAGTACTTGAGTACTTTTTCATTAAATGTATTGCAGTAATGTAAATATCATCGGCTATGTATCTTTAATAAGTTTCTTTTCAGTTTACCACAATTAAATTAGATAACAATTTTAGTCACAGGATACTAATTATAATCTAAATTAGATAATTTTTTTAATTTGAAAAGTTCCTGTTTGGTGTTCCAGTGTACACGTAGCTGTGACAGATCAGTAGAATGGTAAAGATTCATGAAACAATTGTCTTTATACTCTTGCTTCACTGAACTTGTAATAATCCCCTTTAATCTGTGGTATGTTGACTTTGTGTGGACTGTGTGTATTTACCTACACAACCAGAGATGTATACTCTATAAGGGATGAAGTAGGAGATGATGATGTACAATGTGTCCGATACCCTTGTCTTGCCAGGACTCGGCTACACACAAGCAGATAGGTGTTCCGGAACCTGTGCCTGCACTAATTGCTTATTGTTGTAATATGATTGGGCAGGATCCTGTTTGCTTGTTTTGTAAACAGCGTGTACAGGTTGCTGTCTTTGATGTGACATGTGTAATTTGTAGAATGATGTGTGAGAGACGGATACCGGAGATGATGGGCCACCAGTGTCCCTGCCCTGTCATTACCCCACCCGTCAGGGGAGGCACAGCATATAAACAATCATCAGTCCTGGGGTGGGTGAAGGTGAAAGGCCATGGTCTTAACCGATGATCAGCACTGGTCAGCTACAGGTGTTTGCAGGTCACTGTGCTTGCTGCATATGTCCACAGCAACTAGCTTGACCACAGGTCATTTATTCTCCATTATCACCTCAGCTGGATGTTTAGGACAAAAGCTAAACTGACCACAATCCAACACCAATGCCTGGCTGACCATTTCAATTTGGCGATGGGTCAGTCACTGGTCGTTAGATGGCCGTAGCAATTTAAATAAAGCCATTCAGCTGTACAAAGGATCAAGTTTGTGTTCAAATCATGATGATCTTCAAAGCAGTCTTGTGTTAGTTTGGGCATACAGTTTGTTGTGGGTGACAAAGAGAGTGATGGGATTAATGGCTACATTGCCAGCCAGGTATCTTTGCCTGCAGATTAGTGCGAAGTATCAGGTGAGCGTCAGTCCGCGGTCGGGTCACAGTCAAGAACAGACTTTACCTCTAACAACAACTGCAAACATTGACTTTTAACATCAATAGAATCAAAGCAGATTGGTTTTCAAATATCTTCTTTGTTCTGCTTAATGAATATTAATGATTTAGGTACAAAACAACATTCACTCATATAAATCTTGGATTTTAGAAATCAAAATTTGATTGCAGTTTAATGTCTGTTGCTAATGGAGTATAGACAGCCTTAATAAAGTTAGGTGCCAAATATACCGATATATATGCATAATGTTCTAGATGAACTGTTGGCTTACTGATAAGATGTTTAATTGTCAAGGTCTCTGTCTGTGGTTGTCCTGTGTCCTATGCTCTTGTTTATGTTGAATACGACTCGGCATCTACCATGTGTCCAAGTGTCCAGTAGGTCACCCTTCCTAGTACTCACACCACTGGAGCTGCAGAGACTTGCCTGAAGCAATGGACACTAGAGAGCAACTCATTTTGACCTAAATGCATAGATAGATGCAAACACAAAAGCAATGTATTGCTAACTGCCACCACAGTAGATATGTCAGCACTGACCGACAGGGGTTGTTAGAACCCATGTGGATTCTTGGGCAGGATAGGTTCTGAGTATCTCTACTAAAACAGGAATCAGATGGTTACCATTGCTCCAGATGCGATCACCTGGTTGACGATTGCTGTCACCACTTGTTGGGTTTGTTCAGAAGGTTACAGGTAACATGGCTATGGCCATTACATGTTTTGATGTTTCATTGTTATAAAAAAATATAAATGCCTTAAATCTGAACTGTTGCAATTTGACATAAAGGATCTCTACATTGTGTTACTTTGTCTTGTAGCTATGACGATGGTCTGCTGGAAGTGATGGCACTGTATTCCTCCTTCCACATAGCACAGCTCCAGGTTGGGCTGGCTGCGCCGTTTAGACTCGGACAAGCCAGGAAGGTCAAGGTAAGCAAAATTTGGTCTGTTAGAGTAGTATTAAGAATTGACAACTTGACTACTATTGCAAGAATTTCAACTTACAGATACATAATTGTCAGAACTCTCTTGTGACGTGTTAGTTGTGGTGTTGTAGATCAGTCTGCACGGTGGGAAGGCCCCAATGCAGCTGGATGGGGAACCATGGGAACAGCTCCCAGCAGAGATCATCATCACACACCACAGTCAGGCTGCCATGATGGCCATCAGCTAGGGACACCTGGAAGGATGGGATGGGATGATATAGAGAAGTGTGTGTCACTAGGGGATAGTGACACAAGGAGGCTGAGTGGTGGAGCAGTAGGTGTTGTCTGAGAGGCTGCCTTAAGGAACTGTGTGGTTGTAGTAGCTCCAGAGAAGAGTTCTGGACTAGTAGTAGATGTTGTGCTGTATAGGTACATATCTGTGTAATACAGGGGTGCTGGCTACACCCCGTGTAACAACCTCTCAGATATAACCAATGAATATATTCTATGTGAATCTCAGTATGTGGCCAATATTTTACTGTACTTAAAGCATCAAGGTAAAACACAAGGGATACTTTACAGAACTCTTTATATGAGGATGGCAATGAAGAACACTTCAGAATAGGACAGTGCAGAACACTTCAGATTAGGACAGTGCAGAACACTTCAGATTAGGACAGTGCAGAACACTCCAGATTAGGACAATGCAGAACACTTCAGATTAGGCTAATGCAGAACACTTCAGAAAAGGTCAATGCAGAACACTCCAGATTAGGACAATGCAGAACACTTCAGATTAGGACAATGCAGAACACTTCAGATTAGGACAGTGCAGAACACTTCAGAAAAGGTGAATGCAGAACACTTCAGAAAAGGTGAATGTAGAACACTTCAGATTAGGACAATGCAGAAGACTTCAGATACACAGTTGTGTACATGTCTGACAGTGGCCAAAGATTCCTGTGTTAAAGGAAAGACATTAAGGCTTTCTTAATAGAAACACACAGGACAGCCTTCCCTGGTAAAGCCATCTGATTCTCATCCCAGGTCACAAATTCAAACAGTCAAACTTACAGCTTTAAAGCAATGTCATGACGAGGCCAGAGCAGAGAATCTTCCAGACGTATCTTTATTAAAAGAAGATGTTGGATTGGTATGTGTAGATTACTTGTTTACTCTGTACACCTGGTGGTGAGAACTATTTCCAGGTGTTACAGTACTGTACAGTATCCAGTACAGTGTTGTACAGTAACACCTGTCAATAGTATGCTTTTGCTGAGTATCTTCTGTACGTAGTGTTGTGAGGTGTGTCACCTGTCGTTTGTGTAACTGTGTGTGTCATCCATCGTGTGTGTCACCCGTCGTGTGTGTAACTGTGTGTGGATCCCACCCAGGTGCTGGTCATCTACTCATAGGGAAACTTGTCCTGTGTCCAGTGCAAATATCAGCAATGTTGTTGTGCTATGCTTTGCTTTGCTTGATGACTAGCTTGGTGAATTGTTGTATATCTTTCCTTTGTGGTCATGTGCCCAGGGCTGGTGAAGGCAGTTACAGACCAAACCTATGAAGTGTTTGTGGACAAGTATTCAGCATCTAACCTGCGTTAAGACTTTCTGTTTACAGTTTGGTTGGCACTGTCGCTAAGATTTTATTTCTGTATGTAGTGAATGATCTTAGTCGGCTTGTCAAAGAACTTTACAAACCTCAGAAATTTAGCAGACATGGCAAAGACCAATTTTTAGGTGACTTGACTTTTTAGACAAGCCAAATTGTGAAAATGATTTACGTCTTACAGCTTGCATGTCATATGGTTATATATTTTCTCAAACATTTTTAAATGTACATGTGTATATCTGTTTATACCTTTTGTACTTTTTATTTATTATTTTTTTATGATCATTTTTAATTGTTTTATGGGAGTTATGTCATGTTTTTCTTTCCTTTGAATTCTTACCAACTGGTATTTCCTTTGTAGTGAATAGTGGTCATGCATATTACAACACCTTGCTAAAGTAGATCCTTTATTAAAAGAAGGGCAGATGAAGCATATTTTTGTGCCATTCTGTATTGTTCTACTGTAGACATCTTGTCTTTGTGAGATTGTGCCAACATTTTATATTTATTTTGAATTATACCCTTTTTCACATAATGTTTTACATTTCCACCCAGGTACATCATAATTTGCATTACTGTTGTTTTATCGGATGATTGTTAGGAACAGGTATGACAGGGTCATGTCCTGGGGTTCAGCTTAAAGCTGAGAGAGAACTGAGTTCAGATGGCCTGAACCATGCTGACAGTTCAGATATTTCAGTCAGATGTTCAGTTCAGTGCAATACCATTCTATTTATGTACAGATGTAAGCTATAGTCATGACGTTTGATCGATGTTGTCATTTAAAATGCAAAAGGTTTTTTTAGTTTTTTTAAGTCAGATTTTGCAATTTTGTTACAAATGGATTTTATGTTAAAATCATGCTGGATGTTACCGATAATTGAATATGGAAACATTTTTACCTGTCAAATATAAATGGAACACAGTTAAGCAGTACCTGTTTGCACATGTATGTTTATATATGTTGTTAACATAATTCTTTGAGACAATTTGCACCAGTTTGGCCTCTTTTCCCAATGTTAAACCCAATGTGTGCTCAAAGTTGTTACATTTACAGATATTTATTTGGGAAACAGGTAGTTTGATTAATGAATACAATATAAATTTGCTATACTCTAAGTAATTGTCATGTTGCAAACTGATCACAGAAATGGTTTTAGTTAGGCAAGAAGTTTACCACCAGTCATTGTTTGCTCACTATGAAATGTATTTGGTTGACCACTGCGTCATGACAACAGTGATGCTCACTCCATTAACCACTTGTTTTCCATGTCAACATACCTGGCAGGTTGCCAGGATACAGCCTTCATATGGCTGCATTTAGCATAAAAAAGTCCATCTCCAGTGGAGATATTGCGTGAATAATCAGTCTGACATACAGCTGTAACTTTGTTGTCTCCATTGTGCAATACTGTGTAGACATATACAGCATTTTGTTATATAATGCATTAGACACAGGTTTTAATATACATTATTTGGATTTATCGATATATTGTGTTTGTGACTTGGTAAACCATGGTAAATACCTCGTATAGACATTGTACAGTGTGCTCTGGAACCAAATACTGGGAATGGAACCAAAGGCCAATACAGAGAAATCTCTGAAGTAAGATTGAAGTACCTTTATTCACTGAGATGTTACAGAGGAATCTCTGAAGTAAGATTGAAGTACCTTTATTCACTGAGATGTTACAGAGGAATCTCTGAAGTAAGATTGAAGTACCTTTATTCACTGAGATGTTACAGAGATATCTCTGAAGTAAGATTGAAGTACCTTTATTCACTGAGGTGTTACAGAGGAATCTCTGAAGTAAGATTGAAGTACCTTTATTCATTAAAATGTTACAGAGAAATGTCTGAAGTAAGATTGAAGTACCTCTATTATTGAAATGTTACAGAGGAATCTCTGAAGTAAGATTGAAGTACCTTTATTCATTAAAATGTTACAGAGAAATCTCTGAAGTAAGATTGAAGGACCTTTATTCACTGGGATGTTACAGAGGAATCTCTGAAGTAAGATTGAAGTACCTTTATTCATTAATATGTTACAGAGGAATCTCTGAAGTAAGATTGAAGTACCTTTATTCATTAATATGTTACAGAGGAACTGAAGTAAGATTGAAGTACCTTTATTCATTAATATGTTACAGAGGATTCTCTGATGTGAGATAAATGTACCTCCATCGAGAAATTTCAGTGATCAGTTGGATAGTCCATGAAGTGCCCATGCACCTTAATGACCAGGAGAATGGTCAGTATATTAATGTGGTAATGTTAGGGGATTCCCAGCTGTGTGTATGGAGGCTTGGGGTTCTGTTGCCTTTACAAGAATATATATATTGTAATATGTTTAGAAGCATCTATAATGATATATACCTTGTGTTTAGTCTTATATATATTTTTATCAATGTTTTATGTACAGTAAATCTGTATGCAAATGTTGTCAGCTTTTATTGTGATAATAAAATAATGTTTTAAAAATGCTGATGTTGTTATTTCTGTCCTGTGTGAGAGGGACGGCGGGGTACCCTAGCTGTTAAAGTGTCAAAATGCACCAATTTATTTAAAATGATTAAATACTAGTACATGCCATAAATGCATAGTTTGTGTCAACTTTGATATTATATTCTTCATATATAAGTTATTAAGAAGTAATATTTCCGATAAATGTATCCATTTAAACAAATTGTTGCTTAGAAATACATCAAGTCACATAATTCTTTCTTTTATTTTTAATTATCGTCTGTGGGGGAGGAAATGTTTATTGGTAGTAAGTGAAGGCCAAGAGGCAATCTCGTGTGATAAATGCGAAGGCAGGACACAGACTCTGTGGAACTAGAGTGTCCAAGAAGATGTATCAGGGAGCGGACAGGACAGGTTACCCTATACCCTTGCTTACATGCACCATCTGCAAACTTATTGTGTAGAGTAAAGCCACAAAACATATATAAGGTATGTCCACGTGTCACAGACCGGGAACAGCTCACACATTGTGATCTTGTGGCTAAAAACACCGTCAAACTGTGCAGTTTTAATAAGTGTGCAAAAGTAGAAATATGCATACTGCTTTGATTCCGGGATAGAGGCCGAGCCTGCTGTTCCCCACAGAAGGTCCACAGTCCCACGTGAAGAGCACAACCAAGGTCGATTCCACAAAACGTTTTAATGGCTGCGATATCATAAATAGTGCTGATATAAAAGACATGAAAGGCACCAGGGCGTCGTCGGCATGGCCACGGGTAGTACTGTCAGGACCGATACAGACTGTATACAGTCGACAATTTACTGCCAATTTCTACAAATAGTAGAGCGTACATCAACAACGCAATCCCGTGGGAAAGTGACCCAGATGCTTTAGAAATATATTTTAAATTCCACTTACACCTATCTCTTTGTAGTGCATAAATTATCCAACAACTCCACAGGTCAAACACAATATGTAGCGGAGAACCTATCGCCAGTGAAGGCTGTAACTCTCGCGAGATGTACGCCCGTCACAGAAACCTATATAATACGGTACAGAATCCCTTCATTATCCAAACTCACTCGTCTGGCTATACTTATTTTATGTGTGTACCCAATTTGATCGGTTTGTGTGTGGAGCAAATCTTTATAAAAACGTCGAATTAGAAGTAAGTCGCTAGCACGTCCAGATTGAGCGTGGAGATGTTTGAGGCAATACTTGGCCATTGTGTGGCCTGTTGTCTCATCTGCCGCGCGAGTGTTGACCAGTCGTGTTGTGTACTCCGGGTTATATAATGGCCGCCTTCATCATCTATACAGGTTGATGGACCACTAGTGTTTGCCGAAACACTCGCACAATGTTTGAATTTAATTCAAATATTATGTCGGTATTCAAGAGATGGAAATATTTGTTTAAAAGGTATCTCTATAGATGAGTGGTTTGATAACTTGACGGTTTAACTGAGGGTATATGAAATCTTGACTAATAATTTAATAAAGATGTTTTTCAGAAACGTGATGTTATCACTCAAAGATCTCGTGGTTCACGTGTGTGAAGTGATAGTATAATGGCGCAGGTACCCTAGCATAAACACGAAGTAGGTGTGCAGTGCCGACAACCTCAGATCACGTCTTCATTGACGACAGTCTTGTGGGCTGCGTGGTCGATGTACGTTGTGACTTAGTGGTGCATTAATCACCCTTTAATGTAGAAAAATATTAAATCATGTTAGTCATGTCTTTCAATTCCGATACCATTTTGACTTTTGGGGGTGGTCGGGTAGCCTAGCTAGTGGTCACGCCGAAGACCCGGGTTCGATTCCCCACATGGGTACAATGTGAAGCCCATATCTGTTGTGATATTGGAGGAATATTGCTAAAAGAGGCGTACAAGCTTACTCACAGGTCCTTTTCTTGAAGACTGGTTTCCAACAGATGTACATCATTGAAATGCACATGGCTATTTCATGGGTTTACCATATTTCCTTTTACAACTTGCACAAATTAATAGTTGATTATTTGACTGAGTAGGAGTTGATGCCACTTTTGGCAACGGGAGACGCAAGGAATGTGCATTACACATCGAGACCATGTAGGGAATCGAACCTGGGTCTTCGGCTAACGAGCGAACGCAACACCCACGAGGCTACCCACCGCCCTTTATCAAGTAGACATTGATGAAGATAACTACTATGGGAGTATCCAAAGGTATGAGGTGACGCCTGTGGAGGGGGTCTGTCGCCACGCAACATCCGGGTACAGTTCACAGTTCTGCCAGATACACATCTGACAACGTAGAGCCTTAACAGCATCCCCAGCCTGTAATCACCGTGGGTGTGTGAAAACCACAGACTTGCCCATTGGAGAAGTGAAAACTAACGCTTGTCTAAAGAGAAATAGAGTGATTTATTGAAATCTCTGTACATGGATGGATTACATGGCTATGGAGATGTCCGTTTGGTCCCGGCAACCGCTGTCAATGTACATGTATCACAGGTCAAGGTGCCATTTCTGGTCAGAGCTACTCATATACATGCCGATATGTACAAGCACGTCCATAGAACGCAGTAACACCTTATAAAAAACACCCCTTTGAAAGTATATGGTTCCCATTGTGACGCTTCTCGTTAAAGTAAATATAGGTAGCATTGGTTTGTTGGTTTGTTGTTTAACGCCCCACTCAGCAATATTCCATGCAGCAATATGGCGGCGATCTGTAAATAATCGAGTCTGGAACAGACATGCAGTGATCAACATCTTGAGCATCGTTCTACGCAATTTGGATACGATGCCATGTGTCAACCAAGTCAGCGAGCCTGACCACCCGATCCCGTTAGTCGCCTCTTACGACAAGCATGAGTTACTGAAGACCAATTCTAACCCGGATCTTCACGGGTAAGCAGCTGTCGAAGTTGTGTATGCAAAATCTGAAATGTTCATTAGATATTATTCTGAGATGACTACAAATGAAAAGGCCTGGCTGGTTTCCGTGGTGCCATCTTGTAATCCCATCAGGCTGCACTAACCTTGGAGGCAATGACAAGTCTGATGTAGCGATGTTTGAGTAAGATTTGAATGGAACTGGTGTTCGCTGGCGGTACAAGTGAGTGAGTTTAGTTTTACGCCGCACTCAGCAATATTCCAGCTATATGGCGGCGGTCTGTAAATAATCGAGTCTGGACCAGACAATCCAGTGATCAACAGCAGGAACATCGATCTGCGCAATTGGGAACCGATGACATGTGTCAACCAAGTCAGCGAACCTGACCACCCGATCCCGTTAGACGCCTCTTACGACAAGCATGGGTTACTGAAGATCAATATTCTAACCCGGACCTTCACGGGTTGGCGGTACAAGTAACGGGTACTGGCCACTTTCTGCATGCACCTATGTTCTTTAACATTGACTCAAACAAGGTATTTAATAAAATAGTATCGGGAAAAATAGTTACAGGATCTTCCACAAAAAGTTTGGCAGATTCTGATGTAGACTAACATCTAGTCTCTGAAATGAACAAATGAAAATGTCTTTACCGTCTCCACGTTTCGTTCAGAGAAGGCCATCGACGGTAAAGATCCGGTCGTTTCACAGGGTCGGGAGACACAGATAATATCGACAGCCACTGGCCATGTGTATTTGGTTTGGGGGATACTGGAATGGGTGAGAACTGGTTTAGTGAAATAACTCTAGATAGATATCTTGACTAACTGTCTCTGCGACAAATTGACTTAATTTTCAGACCTACTTCCAATGCGACTAACAACTGAAGATGTAAACACCAACAGGTGCATCACGCCGTCGACAAATGAAGATGTGGGAACTCACAGAGAAACCACGCCATCACAAATGAAGATGTGGGAACTCCCAGAGAAACACATGGTAGGGCGATCTGACAACTTCATTTTGTGACAGATCCCCTGAGAAGACCTAAGGATATAGTGTTGCAAAAGCTATTGACGGGTAACTCACAATGGCACTTAGGATATGGTATACATACAGGGGTAACATAGACAAAACTAAACACATTTAAGGTGGTATTTACATGATCAACAACGGTATATTCTTCTTATGGGTCTGTATTTTAGACCATTGACGGATATATCTTTTCCAAATATCTTGGTAAAAATGACTTACGTGGCTTTAAAATGAAGTAAAAGAAGTATGTGTTAATGTTATCAAAGGTTTAGTATAACCTCGGAATGTTCTTCGATGTGCCTCTAATCTGTCTGTCAGGGCAACACGGCTTTAGTGTCAGGGGGAAGTGGGTAATCTTTCAGTTAAAGGTAGTCATTGAATGCTCATTCCAAACGCTGCCTAATCCCACAGGGAGGAAGGCATGATCAGGCTATATGTTAACGTCATTCTCATTTTCAAACACTTTGTCCTAACTGGTAAGAATAACACTGACGAGGTGTACAGGAAAGGATTTCCACAGTGTCGTATTTAGTCCACAGTGTCGTATTAAGTTCACGTGTTACTTCAGCTTTTCTAGTCTTTGGGTACTGTTCGATGACTTCCCGCTAATGTTTGTTCGTCACGCGATGATACGGACTGTATTGCTGAGCTGAAACACTCAGTCTGGCATACTAATTTCACATTTGGCTGTATAACAAGTTAACAACACATTTAGATCAAGATTATAGTGGGTTACTGAACGAAAGCAGCAAACATAGAGTTTAATGCATTTGCGATGCTATTTTGTTTTGCTTGAATCCATAAACGACAACGATTCCTTGCATAATTTGTCAGTCCTGTATTGCCTACAGACATCCGGAAGTAACTGACATAGATACGTGTCAAGGAAATATCCTTACAATCATGGGATCTACAGCTATGAATCACGACTTGAAGGCTATTGGTGTAGGCAGGGCTTAAGATTGTCAGTATGATGTCAGTACGTGTCAAGGCAATATCCTTACAATCATGGGATCTACAGCTATGAATCACAACTTGAAGGCTAATGGTGTAGGCAGGGCCTACGATTGTCAGTATGACCGAAGATGGTATCACAGAGTTCACTATCACTACACACACACTGCTGCCTTCTGTAGATATAGTAGATATACGTCAACAAACACAACTAATGTAGTAAATGCTACACTAGTCTGTAAACATCTGAAACTTTAACAGCAATGTCAGATACACACTCTCAGACGCTTCTGTGTAACTACACAAAATATATGCAACTGAAAAGGAAAAATATATATACATATCATCTTTGGTACACAAGCTTGTAGATGTTGAGTAGTATCTGGCAGTAATGTGTATGATACAGGTTTCTACCAGTCCAGTTGCGACCCGACGTGGCAACACTCACACAGGTGAGCGAAACCAGAGGCATATTGCACAGGCCGTCGTATTGCAGGAAAGATCTACAGAGATTTCGGTTTTAATCCGTTTAAAGGTTCCGAGGTTCAGTTAAAGGTCAAGACAGGTTTAGTTAAATGTCCATTCAGAAATTACAGTAAAGGTCCAATAAGAGGTGGACGTAAGGTCCAGTTAAAGATCAAATAAGTGCTTCGTTTCAGGTTCCATCTAAAGTCGAAACGAAGGTTCAGATAGAGGTCTAGCTTCAAATCTAATCAGAGGCTCAATAAAGGTCTAGTTAAGTGTCCGGTTAAGGTCCAATAAGTAGTACATTTAAAGGTCCAAACAGTTTCCATGAGACATCCACTCAGAGGTCCAGTGTACACTCCAACTGGCCATTTTCCTGGGCCATTTTCAGCACCGCCCTCCATTGTTCATAACGGGGGGCACACTGTAACATTGCTTGACCCAGACGGACGCGGCCTGTGAACAAGAACTGCCCCACCCCGTGCCTGATGCCGCACCGGACTGGGGCGTGTACCACGCCCTTCAGTTCGTGGGGACCGGCACTTCCGCCTGTTGGCTTCTGGAAGATAGCCTCTTTCTGGGAAATAACCCTTGATGCTGTGACCCGGATGCGACTTGTGTCCTCGTCATGGGTGACGTCATCTATGGTTCCAATAGCAACTGAAAGTAAAAGTAAAGATTCGATTATTAGAAACTTCCTACAAAATACTAACACAAAATGTAACGCGCCAGCTACTAACAACAACTACTCCTCCTCCTCCTCCTCCTACTACTACTACTACTACTACTACTACTACTACTACTACTACTACTACTACTACTACTACGGCCGCTGCTACTGTTGCTGCTACTCCTCTTCCTCCTCCTACTAAGGGCCTGATGTCGATAAAACAAATCGCGAAAACAATAGTTATTGACCCCGTGTTGATTCCGGGATAGGAATGGTCTTAAGTAACAGTCGAAAGTAGCGCCTCAACCGGATCAGGTGCCTAAGGGCGGTGACTTGGTAGATTATTTGCATGGGACCCTGATGTTGTCCGACGTTGCTAATATCAACCACTGGTTCGTCTGATCCAGATTCGATTATTTGCAGGCCGACGTGATATCGACTTCTGCTGAGATCTAAAATATTCACTCACACCCAGCGGGTTTATCGCCGTTGTTTCATATCATATTTCCAAGAGCAGTGTATGAAATAAGCCCGTCCGACCGCCCGAGACGGGCTAGATTTCTGACGGACGATATAAATTTACAGTTAGCCAGCCCGATGGTCTGGTAAAATTTGTAGATGTTTCATACATCTGAGTAAATTCACCATATCTTGGTGTCTGGTCTGGTTAAATCGATGTTGTGCTGGTAACATTTTGAAGTTAACAGCCTTGATGTCGGTATGGGTTCTTGGCTTATTTCATACTTTGCCAAGAGGTTTTCAATTATAGTTCGTTCCTGCAGACAATGGTATGGGAAGATATATCGTGTGTCTGTCATACTGAACACATCCATTAAAACACGACCAATTTACCACAAAGCGCCCAATTAAATAGGGAAAATCTCATTTCTGTGCATGGCGTGACGTAGGTGAGGTGTCTGCATGCCACTGAAAAAATATTTTGCTTTGAAACATTACCATTGGCAGAAGCGACATTAAATGTTATGGACGGAATGGGGAAGCTCCTGCCTGTTTCGTCATAAATCACATGAGCTGACACGGAATAATTCGCCATGCCATTTCAACCCATCACATCCGTGAAATTTGATTTTTCAATGTTTTGACACACAGTTGGTTTTGACTCTTAAAATTAAATTTATGGGGATTTAAGGAAGCCCTGACACCTGGATGACTTACAGAGCGTAAGCAGCAGCCTCTTAAAGTGTATTCGGGTCATTTGCTCGACTGAAGCAACGCATCTCACCAAACAGAACCTGTTGGCTTTGACCGCTTCACACGGATACTCAAAGCCCAGCGAGCACGCGACAGAGGGCGCTGACCATGTCGGAGTCACGGTCGGGTGTGGACACAGCAGCCAGTAACTGTCTCATCCCCCGGGCTCCGAGCTCGCCACTGCCCAACCACGTAACGAGATGACTGCTCGTGACGTCTGCTTCCACCCAGTGGCGGGAAACAGCTCTATGCTCACAACCCGCACTTGCATCTTACTGCCATTTGACCTTGACAAACATGAGGTGGACACATATAGCATCAAAGCTAACACACTGGCAAGCGGCCGAAACTTTAAACAGAACCTTTGAAAGTGTATGTTTTTGTTTGAAATTGACTGTTGAATGTCATTCTAAAAATCATGATTACTTACCACTTTGTGAAATATGCCATCACAATTATCAAAGCATTGTCTCGACTTTCTCATTCAATAATATATAATTACAGCCTGTCATAACGTTTAAACGAGAACAAAGTCATGTTGGCTTGTGATAGAAACTTGAACCTGTTTGGGAGGTAATTTAATTCCAATGGAAATGCACATGTTCTGCATCTTTAAAGTTTCGAGTTCGAGACTAAAAGTCTCAGACATGGTAATGTCGTCTGCTCGAACTGATATTCTTATCTGGAGGATCTGAAGAGGGGAAGGGAGAAATTGGAGCTTGAGTCAACACACCCTCTGATCCGATAATTAGAGCTACGGCCAGCCATCTGATGACCGCCATTACTCGGACGAGATGACAAACCGAATCAAACCAGCAATAAAGGCGAGACTATGGAAAGGGATAATATTTCCGGGAATAGCCAAACAGGAATTACTGGAATGATTGAATATGAAGTGCGATGGACAGGCCCGATACCATGGTAAGATAATACGATGGTCAGTTCGTAAACACGCAGACGACAATGGCCCGCCATCTTGAAACATGTCATTCGGGTAAATATTTGAAATGGTCGGAGGAATTATCACCTGTTGACTGGTTTAAGATATCATGTGGACAGTCATCGGGCACCTGTTTTTGACAAGCGAAAGTCTCGTTTATCTTGGATGTAATCTCGGAGAATTAGCGTCCGTTGGAAGCTATCATAGCTGACATGTGTGTAGTATCGGTATTGGCACTTCATTACAGATTCCCATCAACAAATAGCCGTCTTTTGTCAATACGGGTTGACAAATACATCCAGGAAAGCTCAGTTTTAGCCGGGTGTCAAAACTCTCGTTGTCGTCTACTTGTTCCAGTGACAAGTAGGGGCGAGACGACAAACATGTCCCTCAACTGACACTGGGGAGATCGATGCTTGTACATCGAGATCTTTGTCCAACAAAAATGACAGTTTTTCACGTTACAGAGAAAGTTATACCTTCTGTCTCATAAAATGGGGTTCTCAAACTACATAGAGAACCCATTATCACATGCTAGCGGACCCTCGAGAACGTCAAGATTTATATTGTAAAAGACCACAGAAGATTGTTGTTGACGTTTCTGCACACGAGGGACTCTTTCTGCTATGTCCACTCTTTGTAGGCATTTCTAGAAACGGTCGATCCAGTCAGATAGACGGAACCACCCATTACAGGAACCTATAAATCGTCAAAAAGAATCCTCGAGTTTTGTTGCAAGAACCATTTTGCTCATGTTTCTGTTGAGACCTAAAAACCAGCCCAACTTGGATACTTCTGTATCTGTTATGTACATCTATGTAATAACTCAAACAAGGATTGTCACTAAGGTGACATAATCCCCCGCCGCAAATTATCAAATCAAACTTATAAAGTAATGAAAGTTTAAGTTAAATGTCAACAAAAACATGACCAGTCAACCTCTCTTGATATCTTGCTCTATATTTTCAAGACTGACTTTGACCTTGACATGAATGTCATAGTGTATGAGATATGCAAAAATAGTACTAAAGAAATTGCTTATTGAAAAACATTAAAGGGAAGTCTTGAAAGTATATGAAGAAAATCAAGTGAACCGTTCTTGAAATATCTGAAATCTTCAAAGTGTCATCGTGACCCTGAAAATTATGTGATGGTCACCAAAATTGACTGGGCCTTGGGCCTTCCTTATATGAAGCTTCGTGTCAAATATGAAGAAAATCCAGTGAATGGTTCTTGAGGTATCCCGCTGGCAAGCATAACATGCAGGTTAATATGCTGAAATCTTCAAAGTGTCGCCATGACCTTGACAATTATGTGAAGGTTACCAAAATTGACTGGACCCTGCGCCTTGGCATTGAATATGAAGAAAATCAAGTGAACCGTTCTTGAAATATCTTGCTGACAATTCAGGTTAACATGCTGAAATCTTCAAAGTGTCATCGTGACCCTGAAAATTATGTGATGGTCACCAAAATTGACTGGGCCCTGGGCCTTCCCTAGATAAAGCTTGGTTCCAAAAATATGAAGACAATCCAGTGAACGGTTCTTGAGATAGCTTAACATGCAGGTTTACATGCTGAAATCTTCAAAGTGTCCCAATGACCTTGACAATTATGCGAAGGTCACCAAAATCGACTGGGCCCTGCGCCTTGGCATTGAAAATGAAGAAAATCCAGTGAACGGTTCTTGAGATAACTTAACATGCAGGTAAAACGTTAAAGTCCCCTTGTGACCTTGAAATGAAGGTCAAGGTCACCAAACCTGACTTGGACCTATCTTATACGGTGATGAACCTAGGTACCAAATATGAATAGAATCTAGAGAACAGTTCTTAAGATATTCCAATTCGTACGTACGGGCGGACGGACGGACTGGAGCCTATATCCCCCGCTTCGCGCGGCGGGTGGTAATTATAGTCTGTTTGCAGTGAAAACGTACCGATGAATTGCACTTTAAACAAATACGTAAATCAGATAAAGTGAAATTAGAAGTGTGAATCCTCATGATTTTACCATGCCAATTGAACATTTAAATCTCAGAATTTTATTCAACTTAGGATAAACGTTGTCTAACAAACGATCAGTTTCAAATCGCTATTATTGGTTTGTATTACAAGGGGGTATGCACATTAAATGAAACACCGAGAACGAGTAGGGTTGGGCTAAGTAAACGCTCATCACGTACTGCACGTGCATTTGTTTCACTGTTCCAATTACTGCGCTTACTCCCTTGTAATACAAACCAATAATGCGATTTGAATCTATGATCGTCTGTTAAACAGCTTTTATCCTAAGTTGAAATTTAAATGTTTAATTGGCAAGGTAAAATTATGAGGATTCGCAATCTTAATTTCACATTATTTGATTTACTTTTTTGTTTAAAGTGGAATTCATCGGTACCTTTTCACTGCAAAGAGACTATAGATGCCATTTTCTTGTAAACAGACACCGATGTTTATTGTTAATAATCTTAAAATATGTTTAATCATAAGCTATGTTTTCTTGCTGTATCTCGCCTTTAAAGTTGGAAAGTCTGCTGTGGTGTGGATGGTGTTATTTCAGAGATGATCAAAACTGCCTTGCCTGAGATAATGCCGTTTCTAGTTAAAAGCTTTAATCGGATATTTGATTCTAGATGTTTTCCGTCTGAATGGGCTAAATCAATAATTGTTCCATTATTTAAGAATGGAAACATAAATAACCCTAACAATTATCGGGGCATATCTCTGACAAGTGTTGTTGGTAAAACATTTGTATCTATTATCAACAATAATAGGCTAACACAGTGGTCAAATATGAGGGACTTGATCCCAGATTCACAAGCTGGATTTAGAAAGGAATACTCAACCTTTGATCATATTTTACTGTATACTCAGTAATTGAGCGATGTTTAGCTTTTAGTAAAAGAAAATTGTATGTAGCCTTTGTTGATTTTAGAAAGGCTTTTGATTCTGTTGACAGAGATAAAATGTGGAAAATGTCTTAGAAATAGGGGTCTTAAAGGGAAAATGTTTGATATCAGGTCAATGTATTCAAATGTAAAAGTCTTGTGTTCGATGTGATGATGCTTTCAGTGACTATTTTGATTGTCCTACTGGTGTACGACATTGGCAGGTTCTAAGCCCCATACTTTTCTCATTCTTTATCAACGAACTATATTTTGACGTTATACAATCCTGGCAGACATAGCATCCAATTATTTCCTGATCTTGTTGAACTTTTATTTTACTTTTGCCGACGATGTGATCCTTATGTCAAGTACTGTTATTGGCCTTCAGGAGACAAATTGATACACTTTCATCTTATTCAGATAACTGGCGACTTGATGTTAATCTTGAAAAGACCAAAATTGTTGTTTTCGTAAGGGTGGCCCAACGGCAGCTACAGAAAAGTGGTACTTTTAAATGTGAGCGTATGACTGTTGTTAACGAATATAAATATCTAGGGATACTGTTTACACATACACTAAATCTGAACAAATCCATTATTAATTTGGCAATTAGAGGGAAAAGGGCCCTACTTCAATTGCTCTCTGTTATACCAAAGTTGGGGTTGTTGGTCCCAATATATTTTCAAATTGTTTGATTCCCAAGTACAGCCTATTCTTCTTTATGGGTCTGAAATTTTGGGCAATAAGGAATTTTATGCCATTGAAAAGGTTCACCTTCTTGCATGTAAAAGGTTTTTAAATGTTGGGATGTCTACCCCTAATAATATGGTGTACGGTGAATGTGGGAGATTTCCTTTGTACATAATTTCTCTACCTCGCTGTTTAAAGTACTGGTGTAAAGTAATAAATATGCCAGAACATCGTCTGTCTGAAAAACCTACAATATGATTGTCCATCTTGATAATATTGGTAAAAATACTTGGGCAACCTGTATTCGTATTCTTTTGTTTAGATACGGCTTTGGATTTGTTTGGCTATCCCAAACCCCTGGGCGACGTTAATGCATTTATCAAACTCTTTTCGTACCAGGGCTATTGATATCTTTAAACAAGACTGGCATTCATCTTTATATGAAAGTTCAAGATATGATTGCTATCGTGAGTTTAAATCTTTACTTGAACCTGAGTCGTATCTATACAACTTACGTAGTAAAAAGCTTCGTAGTGTTTTCATGCGCCTGAGACTTGGCCTAAATGATTTATATATCAATCAAGGAAGATATTCATCTATTATAAAATCACAAAGGTTCTGTCCATTTTGTAATACTGTAGAGAATGAATTACACTTCTATTTCTTTGTCCTGCATATAATGATTTAAGGCAACTGTATTTTCCGCAATGGCTACAATCAAATATTAATGCTACAAAACTGTATTCAATACTTCATGTAAAGCATCCCTATTACAATATAAGGTAGCTCCTATTTATTTTATCACGCGCTTCTTATATTGAGAAGAGATTCAATGTAACGTGTGTGTACGTCGCATGTTGTATATGCGTTATAACATATATCATACATATTTATTCTGTATATGGGCCCTCTGGCCTTCATGCAATAAACTGATACATGCAATTATGATAACGCCAGTCGCCTGAATCCATACTCGTACGTTCCTCTACCAGATCCGGTAATACTCGCCAGTGACTTGAATCCACATCCCACCACCATTCAATCCTACGAGCAATGTCGATGTCACTTTCTCCTTCATAGAACACCCTTTAACATCACAGGGGCGCTTGGGTGGCCTAGTGGTTAAAGTGGTCGCCCGTCACGATGGTTACAATGTGTGAAGCCCATTTCTGGTGTCCCCACAGAGATATTGTTGGAATATTGTAAAAAGCTGACGTAAAACCAGGACTCACACACACCCACCCATTCACTCACTCTTTAACGTCAAAGCTGTTGTCTCGCCCTGATGTGTCTAGCATTTCCACGCCTTTATAATCTTCGTGTCACACGTCAGTCTTATATACAACCAAAATGTGCAAAGGAGCGTTAACATTATGCATAAGTAATTATTAGTGATCAAGTAGTGACTGTCAATTGCGCCGCCACTTTACGTTGTAGTCCGCCAGGACTGTTTACAGTGTCGATCTGAGTCCTGCCGAAGGTGCAGGGTTAGCAATGTTATAGAGCTGTCACTTACACCCCTGACTGGGTTTACATGATGACGGAGAAAGGTTCGAGCCTAGCGGCGAACACCAGAAGTGGCTGGAGCAGACAGACCTGGCGCAGCTCCTGGCTCCGTGCACGAGCCGACACACTGAGTGGAAAACATACATACACCCTGTATATATCATCTTATGGGCTATGTAAATATGACAGTGCAGCTTCAATTAGTTACGTATGGTAATAGCGGCATCGTAGGAAGTATAGCTGAAGTATAGTATAGCTACGGTGACGACGGCAGTATCTATAAGCAGGGTAACAGGATTGTGCGGTGGCACGGTACAACAACAGTATCCAGGCAGAACGAATGTAGGCAGGATTGCGTATAGGTACAGCTACAACGAGTAGGCGAGTGTAACATAAATGTGTGTAGGTATGGTGCCAACAGCAAGTATCTGTAGGCAGGGTGTAACAGGGATTGGGTGTAGGTACGGTACAACGACGCAGTATCTGCTGGCAGGGTGTGACAGGACTTTCGTGTGTAGGAGTACAACGCCAGTATCTGTAGGCAAGGGTGTAAACATGCTTGGTGTTTACGCCGCACAACTGGCAATATCTGTAGGCAGGGGATGTAATACTGTGTGGTGGTAATGGTACGGCAGGTATCTGTAGGTAGGGTGTAACAGGAATAAAGTGTAGGTACGGTACAACAGTATCAATATCTAACATGAATGTGTCTTAGTGCGGACAATGGCATATCTGTGTAGGCAGTAGGTGTGTGTAACAGGGATTGTGTGTAGGTACGGTACAACGACAGTATATGTAGGCAGGGTGTAACAGAGTTGTGTGTAGGTACGGTACAACGACAGTATCTGTAGGCAGGGTGTAACAGGATTCGTGTGTAGGTACGGTGTACAGCAACGTAGGCAGTATCTAGGTAGGCAACAGCGTAACATGAATGTGTGTAATGGAGTACGGGTACGGTGCAACGACAGTATCTGTAGGCAGGTGTAACATAAGTATGTGTGTGTAGGTACGGTACAACGACAGTATCTGTAGGCAGGGGTGTAACATGATTGTGTGTAAGGTACGGTACAACGACCCCAGTATCTGTATGGCAGGGTGTAACATGTGTGTGTAACGGTACAACGACGACAGTATCTGTAGGCAGGGTGTAACAGGATTGTGTGTAGGTACGGTACAACGTGAGTATCTGTAGGCAGGGTGTAATAGGATTGTGTGTAGGTACGGTACAACGACAGTATCTGTAGGCAGGGTGTAACAGGATGTGTGTAGGTACGGTACAACGACAGTATCTGTAGGCAGGGTGTAAAAGGATTGTGTGTAGGTACGGTACAACAACAGTATCTGTAGGCAGGGTGTAACAGGATTGTGTGTAGGTACGGTACAACGACAGTATCTGTAGGCAGAGTGTAACAGGAATGTGTGTAGGTACGGTACAACGACAGTATCTGTAGGCAGGGTGTAACAGGATTGTGTGTAGGTACGGTACAACGACAGTATCTGTAGGCAGGGTGTAACAGGATTGTGTGTAGGCACGGTACAACGACAGTATCTGTAGGCAGGGTGTAACAGGATTGTGTGTAACAGGTACAACGGCAGTATCTGTAGGCAGGGTGTAACAGGATTGTGTGTAGGTACGGTACAACGACAGTATCTGTGTGGGCAGGGTGTACAGGTATGTAAAAGGATTGTCGTGTAGGTACGGACAGTATCTGTAGGCAGGGTGTAACAGGATTGTGTGTAGGTACGGTACAACGACAGTATCTGTAGGCAGGGTGTAACAGGATTGTGTGTAGGTACGGTACAACGACAGTATCTGTAGGCAGGGTGTAACAGGATTGTGTGTAGGTACGGTACAACGACAGTATCTGTAGGCAGGGTGTAACAGGATTGTGTGTAGGTACGGTACAACGACACTATCTGTAGGCCGGGTGTAACAGGATTGTGTGTAGGTACGGTACAACGACAGTAATCTGTAGGCAGGGTGTAGCAGGATTGCGTGTATGGTGTAGGTAACGGTACAACGACAGTATCTGTAGGCAGGGTGTAACATGAATGTGTGTAGGTACGGTACAACGACAGAATCTGTAGGTAGGGTGTAACAGGATTGGGTGTAGGTACGGTACAACGACAGTATCTGTAGGCAGGGTGTAACTGGAATGTGTGTAGGTACGGTACAACGACAGAATCTGTAGGTAGGGTGTAACTGGAATGGGTGTTGGTACGGTACAACGACAGTATCTGTAGGCAGGGTGTAATATGAATGTGTGTAGGCACGGTACAACGACAGAATCTGTAGGTAGGGTGTAACAGGATTGGGTGTAGGTACGGTACAAACGACAGTATCTGTAGGCAGGGTGTAACTGGAATGTGTGTAGGCACGGTACAACGACAGAATCTGTAGGCAGGGTGTAACTGGAATGGGTGTAGGTACGGTACAACGACAGTATCTGTAGGCAGGGTGTAACTGGAATGTGTGTAGGCACGGTACAACGACAGAATCTGTAGGTAGGGTGTAACAGGATTGTGTGTAGGTACGGTACAACGACAGTATCTGTATGCACGGTATATCTTTTAGCAGCAATAACTGTTTGTATGATATGACGTATATTTGTTTGTAAGACATGACTTTAATTTGTTTGCATAGTATAACATCAGTTTGTCTAGATCTCACGTGCAAGACACTAATCAAAGTCTTTACAGACATAAACATGAACAGGGTAGCACGCAGTGTTTGACTAGAGTTAGGGAGTGTGTTTGGCAGAGAGTGTCAGCTGCACTGTACCAACAAACCTTATTGCGCAACTACCCACTGAACCATGCTCTGTAAAGTGGGGACAACTTTCACTTCATCAAGGGATCAACTCAGTGATCGAACACTGCTTGAAAAGACTTAATGAAATCACTATACAGTTGAAACTGAATAGGCCAGAGTGAAATCGCTGCCATGGCGAATGACTCCAGCGACCTCACTGGGACAGGCCTATTGTTTGACGGCGAGACACATGGTCTCCTGCACGTGCAGCCACTTCTTCCTGTACACAGAGACGTGGCAGGTATCGCCCGGCGTCTGTGTGTCACAACTGAGTCTACAGGTAAGCATATAGCGTAATTGTCTGGCCTTGTATAGACCGAGTTGTGCACAAAGGCAGCACTCTCGTGAACTCTCGTGTGTACATTTACCTGTATATGTATGTAGATCCGAATCTTTGTCACGACTACCGCGAGTCTGCTTGCGCATGTTTTAAGAGAAATTGCTTGTTAAATATTGAACTGCTATTAAATTAACCCTGTATCCTTGAACTGCACCTGCAATCCTTGAGATTCGGGTTCCCAACTGCCTTGCCATAAGGAAGAGCATTCGAGCCTTAGTTAAAAACAGTTTTGCAGTTACTAGTATATCACGACCTCTAAAACTTTGGTTAAACTCACGGGAGTTAGCTTAGTGTTGTTGGAAAACCAAAGGTCACCTGGGATTCGAACCAACCACTAAGATCAGCCAAGATGCGCATCCATGCACAGGAAATTAAACACCAGAGCCATTAGTGCTACCATTCAAAGAAGATAAAAGAAGATTCTGTATGATAGGGTTTAGCAAATGAGTACGTTTTCGTGTAACACTCACCTTCATATGGACTTTGACTTGACCCAGCTCCGATTTTCTCAACGTCGTATTCAACCTTGACCTTTGCCACTGTCAAAACCTCATCATCACTCTCAGTCTCTACATATAATCGCGTAGGACCGGAACCGGAAATACAGTTCACCTTGCTGAGGCCACTGGTGGTAAGGAGGGGAGATAACTTAATGTCCTGTGTCGTCGTTTTCAGCCTGTAATTTTGCAGTTTGGTTGCCAGGATCTCCTGAGACACAACAGTCTTATAGGCATCACTTTCAACACGAAAGCAGATCCGGAATAGCCCTGACTTCGTTGGGTTCACGGTGATCCGAAGAGCTCCGTTGGTTGTAAACCACGTGACCTTGCCCTCTTCACATGCAGCTACAATGTTGGTAATTCCGCCATGATTGTTTTCAGGATCCCTGATAAATACGGAACAAACATGATCTATAAATATATATCTATATACATATCTATACAAAATTATGACATTTTTTACTCTCATAACTGGTTTTACAATCGCTCATAGACGGAGAAATTGACGATGCGATTACTTTTTGACTTTAAAAAAACCCTGACGCTCTTCTTGAATGAGTCAATACAATTGGGAGAGTAGGCAAGAATGGTCTAAGTGAGAACATATGCCATCAGATTCCATTATGCCGTCTGCGAGAGAGTGCCGCTGCATAAAACATCCTCTCCTACAAGCTTCCAGCCGTCTGTGATGCCTCTATAAAACATAACGGCCCACTGGCACAATTCTCCTAAATCTGCACCTAGCGACAATAACAGTGTCTGAATCCCCGTCATTTTGGAAGATCAGGTTCCCAAGACCGAGCTGGCTCTCACAACACATTGAGCTCATTGCCTTCTCGTCATACATAAAAAAACGATGTTTTTAGTAAGTGCAGCGTGCTGCTTGCACCGCAATCTATACTCTCCCACCACCAGAGAGTCTGTGAAAATCACGTCCCTGTTCCTCCAATGGGGACGTGAGGCCGAGTACCAGGCCGTGGCAACAGAGACGTGAGACACAGGTCTGGAACCCACAACGTCAACAAGGGATGTTGCTGGGAGGATGAGGACTTGAGGCAACAAATGGGATAGAAGTGATCGGGATAAGAATACTACAGTCGTATATGTAATACTCTGATTATACCTGAATTCCATAATTATAATCAATGCAACATGGCTGGATTTAAGTTGGATCATTTCCACATCAAAATTTGTTTTTGCCTTATGTCAGTGTCAAGGTCGCGTCTCTGGTATAATAGACGACCTGGCACGTTGCGTCTGGTTGCATGTTTCTTGTCGTCGATCAGATACGACATTAAGATTGACCCTGCACAGAACCATGCCACGAGTTTCACAATCTCTGTATGGGACATTTGCATCGTGAATAATAATAAAAAAAGAATGACAAAATCCTTTCCATATTAGTACGAAATATCTGCTAAAACAGACTCAGTTTTACGATTCTGACCATATCTTGAACATATGATATGATCAAACCAGGTTACAACTGGCAAATGCAACTTATGCACATGCAATATGGTCTTTGTTCTAAGTGGTTTGTGTGGAGCATATCTAAATAATATAATGCTGAACTTACTTGACCATGCAGTCGCACTGTTGACAGGCCGTTCCCATGACGTCACTTCCTGCCCAGATGACCACCAGCACAAGCATGCACGTGCATGGCCACTGTCCACATTGCACGTGCATCATTATCCTCCGGTCAGCGAATATCGTTCCCAATGTAACACAGACGACAGGCCGCCATCACTCTAAGATCTGTGATTGTCATGTTACAAGGTACTGGCGCACTACAGGGTGACTATGTAAATGGGTACACGGTCATCTTAACATCCATGTATGCATGTTTCGCAACTCTGTGTTAAAAAATCTCATGACACTGTTCAATGTCGAATATGCTGGTGCTGATGATCTGTGACCACTGCCAGTCGGTAGTGAACGGTATCTATAGTGTCTGTACGTTATGTGTCCTGAGTCCTGAGTTCGGCAGACCCGACTCCCAGACGCTTTATCCGTGTGTGTCCCAGCATCCCCGCCCTGCACCCATCAGCCACGTGTTGATGCGGCACCGTCCTCCCAGCTCCCATCTGGAGGAGTGGGAGACCCCTCTACAGCAATGGACTCGTCTAGTGCCTCCATTCCCAGACTGTTGCTGGCCGGTAATGTTTTCATCAAGCCAGGATACAGACCACCGAACTTGTCAACAATTTCCACATACATCACAGGTGTCGGGGGAAGAATTATGTCTCTTATCATTGGCAGGATACAGAAGACTTGTTGAAATAACGAACCCCTATGTATTCTATTATATAATGATTTTGTCATATTTCATACTTTATGGTAAGAATTATTATTATGCCATTAATTGTATAAATGTAATTCAGTTTATATACGTTTTTCATGATGCTCGTGGAGCACGTACTCTCGCAGACCATGTAGTGTCGTAGATTGATCAGTGGTGTGTCATGACGTAGATAGTGTAATCCCGGATTCTGTACTCGTAGAAATTGTAATCCTGTATAATGTATTTGTGGATACTGTAACTAGTGATCATGTAGATCGTAGATGACATGGTCGTAGGTACAGCATGGTCAAAGGTTGACCAGGTATTCGTAGATCAGGTATGAGGACGTATAATCATAATTCGTGTAGTGGTAGATAGTTTAATCCCATTTCCTGTACTCGTAGAAATTGTAATCCTATATAATGTAACCTTTATTGTATTTGTAGATTATTTTACCATAGACCATGTAGTCGTAGATTGAGCATGGTCAAAGGTTGTGTGATCGTAGATATGAATGAAGCAGTGTATTCGTAGATATGAATGAAGCAGTGTATTCGTAGATCAGGTATGAAGCAGTGTATTCGTAGATCAGATATGAGGCAGTGTATTCGTAGATCAGGTATGAGGCAGTATAATCGTAATTCGTGTAGTGGTAGACAGTGTAATCGTAGAACATGTAGTTGTAGGTCGTGTACGGCACAGTGTTATCGTAGATCATATGGTCACAGATTAAAGTAGATCGTTTTATTTTTCATAAAGAAATCGAAGTTCTACTTCCTTGCAACTGAATGCCCCTCACTCATTACACAAGACCATCTACATCTCCATATTTGATTATAGGTAAAGCGCTGTTTAACTGGAGCATTCAATGTTTATGTGCATGTTTTCCCATGCATTTTATCTTCAACATTAAAGTTCCAAACAGACATATCACATTTCACAAACTAAATCCTGATATAAGAAAGAATGAACTGTGCATGTTTGTAATTAAACAACTTGATATCTTTAGCCCCCTTCATATTTCCCATGTGCTTTACATCCAGTTCCGGTGCCCAGTGCCAGGCATCCTGCGTCCGCGCTGACCCCTGCAGCACGTGAGTGTCAAGTGGCCTCATCCCCTCTTCAGACGGCGCGTGGCATCTACGACTGCCTTCAAGATGTATGTCCTCCGTGTGGAACTGGTCGCTTAGGACTCTCTAGACTAACGCATAGTCTCTGAATTTACATACTTTTGAAATACTTTTTTTTCATTTGAAAAGGAGCCCCAGTGAGGTCGGAGTTCCTGAACCTCAGGAAATCTAGACTTGCTTCATTTAGTGCTTTAGCATCGCACAGAGGGCTGGGCGGGGAGGAAAATAGTGCGGTTCAACGACTGTGAGACAGACTAATTTAAGGACTCGCCACACAACATCACATTAATAGGTTTGTCTCACAGTCCCTGAACCACTTTATTTTCCCTATTGCCTAGCCCTTCCTGTAATGCTAAAGCCCTAAATGAAGCAAGTATAGATTTCCTCTGAATCTCTGGTCTCCCTGGGGCTCATTTTCAATTTAAATGGGTTTATTTAATACTATCAAAATTATATATATTCAGAGACTAAGTGTTAGTCTATCACATCCTGTGTATACAGATCTATAACCAAGGTTAACACAACTGCACTTGTATACTCAAAAAATTAAAAGGTTGACATATTTACATTTGTATACACATATGTCGGTAAAGTTGGCACATATACTTTTGTATTAAACATTTACACTTATATATTCACATAAATAAACAGTGTTTTTAACTTTGTAAATACAAACTTTAACTCTTGTGCGCACATATATTTACAAGGTTGATGCAGTTACGTTTGTATTAAAAACATATCTCACACACACATACACCGAAACGCACGTGCGCACAAACATACACACACAGTGACAAACATTATAATCGCATCCACACCTGTATACATGTACATACATTTACACATGTATGCGCCATTATTAACTAGAGTATATTATAGCATAAACCAGTATGTATTCACAGGTAATCCTGTTGGAACTCCACGTGAGGGTGGGTGGCTGGGTGACATCTTCATTCATAACGTGACGTCTGACGTGACTGTCACCCGTCCCACGGAACACCCACCAGGTGTGTTTCACCTTTCAGACATCCACAAGCGATAGTAGCTAGCCGTGATGGCGTATTGATGTGAAGCTGTCACAGAGAGGCCCGCACAACATTGAGCTGTTACACTTCAGCCATACAGGCCGTAGATCATAGATTACACACCTGGCACCCCACACCATACCCTATCAAATACACGTTAAAGCACCAGAAGGATACATTATACAGAAACATTAATCATGGCCATAGTTCCAAGACTTCTATGATACACATTTTCAGGGAGACACTCCTTTAGTATCCAAGATGAAATCTGTTGTTTACGCTGTGGCGTGCTGGGTGCCATACAATACTCTGTCTCTCCTCATCTGTATCGTGTTTTGTTATAGAGGTATGCTCGGTCACGTTTGGTGCTATGACTGTCCAGATTGTTGGTTGTCACGTACTTCATTCATGTCTGTCTTGGGATCCAGCGGGTACCTGGGCAAGAGCAAATCCCGGGTTTACCACTCTTATCTTAATTCCTGTGTGGATGTGGGCAAGAATAGGTCCAGACTATCCAATGCCTGACTCTCCGTGTGGATCTGGGTTTGAGCAAGAATAGGTCCAGACTATCCAATGCCTGTCTGTCTGTGTGGATCTGGGTCTGAGCAAGAATAGGTCCAGACTATCCAATGCCTGACTCTCCGTGTGGATCTGGGTATGAGCAAGAATAAGTCCAGACTATCCAATCCTGTCTGTCTGTGTGGATCTGGGTATGAGCAAGAATAGGTCCAGACTATCCAATGCCTGTCTGTCTGTGTGGATCTGGGTATGAGCAAGAATAGGTTCAGACTATCCAATGCCTGTCTGTCTGTGTGGATCTGGGTCTGAGCAAGAATAGGTCCAGACTATCCAATGCCCGACTCCCCGTGTGGATCTGGGTCTGAGCAAGAATAGGTCCAGACTATCCAATGCCTGACTCTCCATGTGGATCTGGGTCTGAGCAAGAATAGGTCCAGACTATCCAATGCCCGACTCCCCGTGTGGATCTGGGTCTGAGCAAGAATAGGTCCAGATTATCCAATGCCCGACTCTCCGTGTGGATCTGGGTCTGAGCAAGAATAAGTCCAGACTATCCAATCCTGTCTGTCTGTGTTGATCTGGGTCTGAGCAAGAATAGGTCCAGACTATCCAATGCCTGACTCTCCGTGTGGATCTGGGTCTGAGCAAGAATAGGTACAGACTATCCAATGCCCGACTCTCCGTGTGGATCTGGGTCTGAGCAAGAATAGGTACAGACTATCCAATGCCCGACTCTCCGTGTGGATCTGGGTCTGAGCAAGAATAGGTACAGACTATCCAATGCCTGTCTGTCTGTGTGGATCTGGGTATGAGCAAGTCCAGGTTATCCACTCCCCATGTGGATGTGGGCACAAGGAGTGATCCAGTCTCGCGTATCATTGTAACGTGTTTGGGGTCGTTGCTCATGGTATGAACCACTGGTTTGTCAAAACCAGTCTGCCGTGATAGAGCGCGAATATTGCTAACTGCGGCCTACGAAAACACTCACTCTTTTCAGGACAATCTGAGCTTTGTACTCACTGCTTATTTATTTGTAAGAGAAGTGCCTGGGGTAACCCAGCGCAAGTGTATTTCCTTCGGCTAATCATCACACAGATGTGCGAGTGCTATATCCTGACAGGAGGCTATCCCTCTAGACTGTATCACCAATCTTTCATCTGTTAGTGGAGATAGAGTGACATGTGTAACAGAGACGTTTATACAGAGATTCGAACCTTCCCGCCTCACACGCCCATGGTGTAGTGTGTCGCCGTGTGCGTGGACAAACGATGGAATCAGTGGCGGTATTGAGAGACGGATGCCTCCAGTGGTCCTGGGTGACTGTTGATTGTTATCAGTGTCTCAGACGGATCTGTCAGTAGAGGGAGCCAGGAGTGGTTGTTGTGACAACAATACTGGCGGATTAGGGCGTGGTGGATTTTACACTGTTATTGTAGGAAATAGGAGACTGTGGCGGCGTCGTATAACGGGGTAAGGTATAACGGTATAACGGACGAATATGTTCAAACAGCTTATGGAGAAATTAAATAGAGTTCTGACCTTCCATGTTCCATTTAAGGGGGGTATCTAACGGTGAAGGGAATTAGAAAGTTTCAAGAAGGAAATGCAACTTTTACCATGTAATGGCGGAGTGAGTGAGTGAGTGAGTTTAGTTTTACGCCGCTCTCGGCAATATTCCAGCTACATGGCGGCGGGCTGTAAATAATCGAGTCTGGACCAGATTCTCCAGGGATCAACAACATGAACATCGATCGACGCAAATGGGATACGATAACATGCGTCAACCCAGTCAGTGAGCCTGACCACCCGATCCCGTTAGTAGCCTCTTACGACAAGCATGGGTTACTGAAGATCAATTCTAACTCGGACCTTCACGAGTCCGCAATGACGGAAGTGGTACATTGCAAGGTGACGAACAGCTGAATAATTCATTCCTATATTTGAAGCAAAAATACTGGAACAGACAATGTTCTTGGCGCGTACCAGGCCATGGGTGAGTGAGTATGGTTTCACGCCGCTGTTAGCAATATTCCAGCAATATCACAGCGGGGGGACACCAGAAACGGGCTTCACAACCAGGCCATGAAAGGAAATGAAATACATGTATTACACATTAAATTAATTTCTGTGCCAGACAAAGTATCACTGCGATAAAGACTAAAGTAGTATTTATCATCAATGTTTCAAAGGTTGTTCTGTTTTGAAGTTTTTATATTCGTTTGCGTTCACCCTTGGGTGTTTCTGGGTGTACAAGAATGTGTGTGAAAAAGACCCCCCAAACACTTGATACAAAATTGACACGGCGGTCAGAGTTAAGATATGATATGTTGAGAATGCAGCTAGTAAATTTGGTCAAACGTTTTTTTAACTTCCGATTTATTATTCTGTTCAAGTCATTTGATAATTACTTTTTTTCAAACAAGGGCCAAATGATTTTGAATAATTACCAGGAGTACTGTGGGGGTAGCCTAGTGGTTTAAGGTTTCGCTCATCTCGCCGAAGGCCCGGGTTTGATTCCCCACGTGGGTACAGTGTGCGGCGTTAAACAAACAAACAGTAACAACACATATTGTAACATGCTATACCCAAAGAATCCACCCCCATGTTCATCATACCGGCTTCTTAATGTCACTCAAGGAAGCAAGGTGATGTAGCTTGAATATTAGTCAAAGAGGTGTAAAATGAAGGTATCTCACTCATTGTAACAAAATGTTTGGCCCAGACATGTAACAGGATTTTTTAAATTATTAGATGGCGGCCTTTTTAGATGGAATTCGTCGAAATATCGTTAGACCAAGATACAAGCGGAAGGTTCTATCCGTGGCTGTATTAGCTGGTGTAAGTGGGTTGCCGTCAATGGCAGCATCCCGGATGGCGCTCCCACATCAAAAATGATCCTTATTTTGCACGACATTTAATTTACTGATGAAGCATAGCCCAGTACCTGCATTGTCCTGGAATGTAACTAGTCCAAACTGGTTGAATACCCTTTGAAACACGTGTCAGTGTGATACCCTCTGTCTCCTGTGTGCCATGACAGGACCACCCTGCCGCCACACGTGACGGTCACCTGAGGGGTCACTTCCCCGTGTCCAGACAGTGACATCACAATGGGCAGGTGGAAATGTATACAATGTACATACATTCGGACCTATGACCGTCTGTCCCGGACACGCGCTTAGCACGTACATGTTATGCTTGATTGTCCACACAGGGTAGGGGTTGAAGAGGTCATCCCTGTCAACACGTACACACACACGACCACCAACCCCTTTTCAAGCAAAACTTCAGATAATTAACACATCAGAACGAAGTTTTGGCAACAATACTCACATACACACACCTGGCTGTAATTAACAACCATGTAGAGGGTCTAGACACTTGAAACCCGTGAAGCTCCACGTTAGAATTGGTCTTCAGTAACCCATGGTTGTCGAAAGAGGCGACTAACGGGATCGGGCGGTCAGGCTCGCTGACTTGGTTGACACATGTCATCGTATCCCATTTGTGTGGATCGATGCTCATGCCGTTGATCACTGGATTGTCTGTTCCAGAATCGATTATTTACAGACCATATAGCTGGAATATTGTTGAGAGCGGCGTAAAACTAAACTCACTCACTCTAGACACATGAAGGTCACGTCATCTGAAGTGGTGTTCCCATTTCCACATCTGTGTATATCTAAGACACACGACTAGATATGCATGTGTGTTCGTTCTGCGTTAGATCCAGTCTGATATTTACGTAATAGGTAGTATTTCACAATACATGGTTCTTGTTTCAGCGCCAGGGCATTTAATGGATGTATACTGTTTTTATGGTCTTACT